AGTGCAAGACTCAGATGTTTTGACCCAAGCGCTTCTCTATGAATAATGCAACGGGTCCACAGTGCATTTGATGATTTGTTTCGAATAAGCGCCTCTAATCCTCCATAGCAGCCAGACATGGAGCGAGCTCTATCAATACAGACACCAACGCATTTAGGCCAATTAAAATTATTTTTATATAGGAATGTATCAAGAATCTCGAACAGGTCTTGAGCCTTCGCTCCTACAGTGATTATTTTACAAAACAGAAGGTCTTCTTTAACATTATTACCATATCAAATGAGCATACTTATTAGTATCCGTAGCCTCATCTATCAGCAATCCAAATTGGACTCCTTTAATTGTTTCAATTAATTGATCGTTGATATCCTCCGCCATATTTTCTATTCTCTGATTAATTGTGCTATTGGACAAAGACACTTTTAAAAGCAGCTTCTCAGCAGACTCATCAACCATGATGTTCACCATGTCTACAGTAGCCGGTAGAATAAGTTCTTCTGCGCTGGTATGAGGCTTCTTACATTTCGTAATTCTGTAAGCCACCTTGTAAGTTGCTAGCAGAGCATTGTTTGGAATTGATGCAGTTCTAAAAAATGTATTTTTTTGTTGTTTCAGTTCCTATAACTTCCAGGCTAAGAAATCACGAGGTCGGCCAACCATGCCGTTGTGATTAGCTTCTAAATGGCGCTTCTATTTACTTGGAAGCATACCATTTCATACACAATCCACATTGTGGTCTCTCTTTACCATTAATTTTTGTTGACGTAAAACCAAACTCTAATTAGCTGTCAGCATATTTACGATATTTTCGTTTCTTCACTACGTTTATAACTGTTCAAAAATCGGTCTATTATCAAAGATACAAAAGTCAAAAATCACAAAATTATTTATCAAAGACAACAAACAAGAAGTAATATAACACTAACTAAATTACAATATGAACTCATTCACTAATTTATGTCATTGTTTATTTATATATGAAGCACTGAGTTTTGACTTCACTAGACTCAAATTATAAGCCGACTGACTGAATCGAGCCGGCAACGCTTGCTTATGTATTTTCCGCAAAATCTTCCAGAACATTCCAAATCTGTCGCGAAGGTTCTACGCACCTCGATGTGTCTAGTACGATGATATGGCGCGATCGAGAAGATGCAGCGTTTTCTCTCACGTTTTCGTTTAGTTAGGCCAAATGTTTGGGCTAAATTAATTATAAAACATTTAAAATATTTCGTGGCTCCCCGGGGCGCCGCGGCGCACAGTTTGGGAATCACTGCCTTAGCCTCTTGTGTGCCAACCCATAAATGTTGTGGTACTGCCTGCTTTGATTAGATTCAATGTTGACTGGGAGATAAAACAACTGTTTAGCACACGTTTGGTCAAAAGATCGGCTTCACTTGTCTCTTTGACGCGTTTTTGTGTGGTGCTATGAATGGCAAGACTCACTGACGATGCCGGCGAAACGTCTGGAAAATTACCACGTCCACGGGCTGACTTTGGGAATGGGGATGCAAACAATGGACTCCGGATTATGTGCGTTCCTCTAAGTCTTCCTACCAATATGACCAAGTTGCGGAAACAAGGTCAAATAATTTCTATACAACGAAAGGAGACTGCGACCACACAAAAGGCTACACCATCTTGGTCTTTATACCTTCGGTTTAATTATATGAGTTTTATTCACCCTATTTTGAGGAAGCGGAAGTTGATTTTCCCCACATTGATATGATTATAGCTGACGTTTCAATTGATTTTCACATCCCGAAAGCTGTTCTCATCCAGGATGGACTGCAGCTTCGAGTTCGCATAGGTCTTAGCAACACCCCAAGTGGGAGTCTCGAAAACCTACTCACGAAAAAAGTAATGTCGCCGATTGTTATAGCAAATAAAAGTTTGCTTCATCGGTAATGCAAATACTGAATATGATATATGAAAAATGCCTGACATTCCATGAAATGCACATCTTCCCTGTGACCCAAAGACCCTCGTGACAGTGTGGCGTAGTGCTTAACGTGTCCGGTTTACAGGTTGCACTGTTACGGTTCACTTCCCGCTTGGGATATTGATAAGACCGATGCGAGGTTGAAGCTGCAGTCCACTCTGGATGAGAACACCTTGTGGGAAATTCATTGGAAACGTCAACCTTACTCATATTATTGTGGGGTAAATCAACTTTCAGTTCTTCATCGCTTTAAGCGAAATTGGGTGAATACAACTCATGTATCTGATTTACTGGTAGTCTCGAAAGCCTACTCACGTATGACTCTGGTCGACTCATGCTCCTATTCAAGATGTACTGATATTTTCAAATCAGACCTATTTATAGAAAAATTGTTTGACCTTGTCTTCGCAACTGGATCGTGTTGTCAGGGCAACCTAGAGGAACCCACCTCGTCCGGAGTCAATGGTATCCATGATAATATCCAGCATCGCACCGTGGACTGGGTACATTCACCAGACTTGTCTCTTAGACTAGTTCTAGTGTTGGAAGGACTTTCATTTCGTATGAAATTGCATGAAGAAGACTGAGAGGTTAGGACAAGTGGTTTCGTAACTTGACTTACATGCTTACAAGCTGATCACTCATTATCTCAACCATATTGTTTACGGACATACGCAGTCTCCGTCAGGTCTTTCACTTGGGTTATCAGGCCTTGATGATCACAGCCTGACATTAGCCTTTTGATAATTCTGATTTATGACCGATATTAGGTATAGGCGCTAACACACACACACACACATACACACACGCAAACAGTAGAGTAAAAGTAGCAGGACATATATGAAAAATAATTAACCAAACCACTCTATATCTATCTAGATTTTTTTTCTCAATTGAGTCTATATAAGAGGTAAGATAGAGCCGGGTAATCTTTTTTGACTATTCTTATGTTGATGTGAGACTTTTCCAGGAATGAGACCCAGCTCTGATGATGTCCATCATTTGATGAACAAAAGCTCAGCCAGTTTTCACCCAAAACGAGGGACGAGGTCTCGTGGACTGCGTCAACGTGAACGTCGTATAAAAGCCAAACGGCTGAAGTACGACGGGATTCATCAGTCCTCTTCTGGTCAGATCGACCAACGAATCTCTTCTTCATGCACTTTCATACGAAATGATAGTCGCCCAACAATGTTATCTCACGAGATTCATCGAGATCCAGTTTCTCTTTGTATATAGTTTTAGTGTGTTGCTTAGACTGGCAAGGATGAGTGACGATGCCAGCGAAACGTTTGGAAATGTATCAAGTCCCCGGTCCGACTCTGTAAACTGTCATGGACTCTGGGCAAACTGTATTCCTCCAGGTCTCCTTGACAACACGATTAAGTTGTGAAAACAAAATAAAACCACGTGTATACAATGAAAGTAGACCGCGAACATACCACAAACTGCCTCACCTTGGTCTTAAAATCTTTGATTCTCTATTCATTCAATAGTCGTGTCTTCGAGTGTAGCGGCGAATACGAGTTTGCCTCATTAACAATTCCACTAGAAGTGGAATTTTGAATGGTTTTTGCATGTTCTGTGGCACACTGACAAAACTGGAAATTTGGTCGTAGCAACAGAGAGACATCTAGCCCCGCTACCTCTGAATATCCACTGCAGTTATTACCTACGAGTTGGGAGAAACGTTTGGGAATGCACCAATTTTACTCAACAATGCTGAAAATTTACATTAATCCTTGAGACGAGGACGCAGGACCTGACTGGGCATGTTCTACATGTCGCTAAAACCGGGTTGAGAGAACGAGGTCAACTCAAGAAATAGAAGTAAATAGATAAATTTGGGTTTGGAGGAATCTCGAATTGTCGAAAGCCTATTAAAAACTAAGAAAATAAGTAAAGTATGCGATTGCCTTAGAAAATATAACATTGCTGCATCGACTATCTCACCAAATAATGTGATATGTGAAAATGCCTGGCCTTCTTTGAAATTCACATCTGC